CTCTCCGTTAGAGGGCATCTAGAAAGCGGGCGTCGGCAACTGACGGAAGCGTTAGAACTAGAACTTTCAGCGGCTGTAGCTCGCTCCTCGCTCGCTGTGGAGTCGCGAGAGTGGGATAGTCTCTAGCTTGGGGGCTGTACTACTTGCACAAGGAAGGACGACCATGTACTACTTGAGCGCGAGGGGCTTAACACATTGACGCGACATCCTGAGCCACCGGTGGCTCATGAGTGAGTGGCCACGTGGGACAACCTGAGCCACCGGTGGCTCATGACTTTCTCCATCACTTTTTGGGTTATTGCCGGCAGTCTCAATCGATCTTTTTCTTGCTTTCGAGTAAGCTGTGGAAGGTGAGTTTCCAACAAGGATGAGCAAGAAAAATGTTGCTGCCCCCATGAGATATTTTGAATTAAAAATTGAAAATTTTCAACTAGCTACTGCTGCGGCAGAAACCTCCAAAATAGTTCTTTTTGGACGAAACCTTGGCTGCAGGGACTGCGCAGGTCTCTGATCATGAACGTGAGATCCACTTGTCTTTGGCGCTAGCAATCTCTTTTGACCACTCGAATTTTGATAGAAACCTCTACACCTTGTCACGAATATATCGTTACCCTCCGGAGTCGGCGCCACTTAGCGCCAGCGGGCGCCACTTTGGCGCCAGCGATCCTTCTGACACCGATTAAAATGGATACCTCTGCACCTAGGTTATTTGACATCCTTGTCATGAATGTATCGTTTCCTTCCAAAGCTGACGCCAACCGGCGCCCAAGCGGGCGCCACTTTGGCGCCCGCTGGCGCCAGGTGGCATCGAACTTTGGAAGGAATTTGATAGAAACCTCTACACCCAGGTGATTTGACATCCCACATGAACGGCATCCGCAAGGAGTTCCTATATGGTTGTTCTTGGTAGTTATTGATCCACAGCACGCAGTTTCTCCCCAGTGAAGCAGTCTGGCTTCTTCTGGTCTACGAGCGAGACTGAGACTCTGTACTTCCAGATCAAGGCATTTTCGCAGGTGTAGGTGGAGCTGCGAAGTGGCAGGGGCCTCTCCTAGTGGGCGGAACCGTTTGGTGATCTTGAGATGGTGAACAAGTGATAAAATATGGATAGTGGGAAGAAAATATGGATAAATAGTGATAATAAAATATTGCTAGAAATCGCGAAAATCGACCTAAAGTGGGGGAGCTAAGTGTGCGGATCCTTATGCATCTTCGTGCAATTGCTTGTCTGTGAGCAATATGTGAAGAGTGTGTTTGAAGGCGTCAACGTTGAGATAAGGTATGAAAATTGAATATAAAACAAATCTGTCAAAAAGTGGGCTTATGGCTATGGGTCGGTGTGGCCATCAATGAATCATTGTAATGTGCGAACAGCAGAAAATTCCAAGAAAATTCTCAGAAACGGAAGTTATGGTACACATTTTGGAAATCACGATCGCGCTAAAAAGTGGGCTTGATCGCAGTGGGCGGGGCATGAGATGGCATCCAATAGGGTCAAATATGGTTGAAATAGCAGTCCCTGCACAACTGACTTATCATTTTGCGAAATTTGACATAGCGGCAAAAAGTGGTCCACGAGGGACAACCTGAGCCACCGGTGGCTCAGGGCGGACGCATGCGAAAGCACGCCATTGTCCCACGTGGCGCTTTCCCGCAAAACGCGATTGTCGTCAACGTGTGTTAAGTAACCTTCCAACTCATATGTGTACCCAGTGAAGGGCTTCCAAGGTACTGAAGGAGTGGGTTCGAGTGGATACTCCCGTAATCTCGTTGTCACTATTAAACCTTCTACTTTGAATGGATGGGTTTAATACGAAGGTGCTCAACAAGTCTCAATAAGCAAACAAAGGGGAGAGTTTGGAAATGAAGCCAGTGAGAGATTGGAAGAGTTACAAAGCGCTCAATAGAGAGAGAGAGAGAGAGAGAGAGAGAGAGAGAGAGAGTGCGATGTGCAGTAGTGTCATAGGTCATCACGACAGTTAGAATTGCTGGGAGAAATTCAGAAAATCAGCGTGAATGAAATGAGCTGTACGACGTTAGTAGGCAACCGTAGCTCATTGGTATATTCCGTGAAGAACAGCTAGATTGTGTCCAAGCACTACGAAGATTTGAATAAAATCATTCTGTTGCTGTGTTCAGAATTACGAATTCCTTGAAACGGTTACTCCGGCAAGATAAAGTGGAAGACGAACTGCGAAATCCAAAGCTTACTCATTTCATCGCTGAGCACGCTCATCCATCTTTACAGGTGAGTAAATTGTATTATTTTGTTTAAACGAGTAAAATGTTACAAGTTTTAGTCTCGACGAACTTCTGTGTAGAGAAATGTTCCATTTATCTCATGGATGAGATATATCTGGTAATTTCCGCTAGTCGCGTCATTTCAAGGGGATGTCACCCGTAATCGAGAAGAACACGTGTTGTTCCTGCTTTTTTTGCGACTCGCAGAGTTTCATTGTCGAACTTTTCGGGGATATTTATCCTTTACTGCCCCAGTCTCCGAAATCACAGAAGCCTCTTGAATCTGAAATCCGAAATTCAGACCAGGTACTGATCGAGTTTTTTTCTTTTCAGCGTAGGCTTAGCCAAGAGTTTTGTCGTCGGGGTTAATCCGATCCCTGAATACGAATATCACATCTGTAAAATGAAAGTGCCAAGCGTCTGTGACTCCGGAGCCAGGAGCTCTCCACAGCAGTGCCCACTAACGCAATACAGAAATTTCCACGCCAAGCAAGAGTTATATTTGTGCTCAGGAGGTCAAAAAAGGGGGTAGGCTTTTAACAAATTTAGTGTTCTTCAAGATGTCTTGGTGACTGCGCTTGTGGTACGGGCGCAGGGTGGTTTTGATATTCGTGTTCAGGGGTCCACCTACCGAGATCAACATTTTAGTAAAGTCTACCCATCGGGGAATAATTCGATTGAAATTGGCTGCATTTTCGTAGACTAAAGGATTAATATGCCAGTGCTCTATTTTATTGCCAGCTCACTTTAAACATCTTGAGTTGTGGTAAGGATATACCTTTCAGATCTATTCGCTGTATCCGCAGCTTTCTCCTTTCAGCTGGCAATACTGCTAATTTCGTGAACCTGCAGCATCTCCCATGCTCAGTTTCATCCAAAACAGCTAATCTTTGTAGCTACCTTTCATCCTCGCCCTTCTTATCGAACAGATAGTCTTTTTGGAAGACTTAGACGTGTTTGGAGACTGCAATAATCTCTTCGAACAGCAGAACACCTCTTCCCATAGTCTCCAGTTTTCTCTTCGTATAACCTCAACACTGTCGTTGAGGTGATGTGATTCTTTTACGCCAGTGAAGTTCTTGGGGTGGACTTTTCATTATAGGCGTGAGTTTTCAACCAGGTCGTCGTCCTAAAAGGCGATCCACCGCTGCATGGGCGGCCTCACGATCTGGTCCAAAGGTTGCGCCGATAATAGGAGTTCCAACCGACAAGTTTACTGGCACAAAAGAAGAATATCTTTCGGTAGTGTTTTTTCAGAATGTTGCGAAAACTGCCGAAAAGCGCACTTAGTTCAACTTAAGCAAGTTGCTATTTGAGAATGGCCGGTCGGAACAGGAACGTAGATTTTAAAAAAAGTGATTTTAATAAGCTTTCTGGCGCACAAAGTAGCAGAACTAGCATTCGTGCAGTGGATACTCTGAGCTGGAAAGTACGCCTGTGAAAAGCGTTAGTACAGTATGTGACTTATTGAGCTTGTGGCCAAGATTGGTAAATATTTTATTAACGGTTGACGTTTCGGCGTCGTCGCCTTCTTCGGAACCTGGAAAGTCGAAAAACATTCAGGAAACCCTTCGTCCAAAACAGCCTAATTCTCAGGTCCTATACAGGAAAATTCCAAAAGGGACGTAAACTACTAAAACGATGTCGTAGAGCCTTGATAAACTGACCTTTGAGCAGTCGAACCACGGAGGTCCACCTATCACCCCTAACTGGTAATAATGCGGTGGGTAATAATAATTATGCATAGCTTACAGGTCCGAGGCGTCACCCTATCTAACCGATTATACCAGTTAGTGGGTGATTAGGTGGGACTCGTTGGTTCGAGCCTTGCTTCAAAGGGTTCAGTCTTATCAAGGCCTCTACGACATCGTTTTTAGTAGTTACGTCCTTTTTGAATTTTCCTGTAGCTTGAAAAGTGTTTTGCGTAGATAGGGTTTCACTGATATGTTTGTTTCGCACTTGTCCAGGTTGCCGGAAAGAATGCGACGCACGCCAGAAACGTTCAACCGTTAATAAAATATTTACCAATCTTGGCCACAAGCTCAATAAGTCACATACTGTATGCACTATTATCATGCCAAGGTTCATCGAAAGTCGAACGTGAAAAGCGTTAGTGTTTTTTGAAGGGAGGGGTTGGAAATCGGAGTGTTGTTGGCATGGAACCTATTCTCCGTCCTTTGAGATCTCACGGTCTCTTGCCCGATAGTGAGAAACACAGAAGTGTTCTTATTGATGCATATTCGACCATGCAGTGGATACTCTGAGCTGGAAAGTACGCCTGTGAAAACCGTTAGTTGGTGAAAGGACCTTGGGCTACACTCTGTGGGAGCTATCGGAGTAGAGAGGCGAAGGGTGGATCGTCCACTCGAAGCACTTGCACTGGTGAATACTTTTTGCTGATCCACATCCTTCCCCAGCTTGCCCATTGCCTCCAAGAAGGCAAAAAGGGCATCTCTCTTTTCTCTTTGTTAAATACTCTACTAAACCACTATACTAAATACTCCCAAATACTCCATGGTTCACGTCCATAATTTTAAATTCCCCTCAAAGGAAATTCGGATCAACTGGTGGGAATCCCTCATGCATTTGTCCTCGAGCGTCGCAGTGATGAGGGAAACTCAACTTCCTAAACCCCTGTGTGTTTAATCAGTGTGATGTCATCGCGGAAATGAACGTGCGGCGACGACCAATGTAAATACCTGTGTGGTACCTCCGTGACTTATGCAGCCAGAGTGTAAAAGTCGAATTTTGTTGTGTCAATGTTGCAGATGGCGTGCCAGGATTTGGAGTTTTCTATGTCTCGAGTGAACAACATAATATCTAAGATGGTGGCTGAAAAGGGCAAAAATGTACAACATGATTTTGCTACGCTGGAGCGGCTAGTCACAGTAATACAGGTGTTCTCTTTATTTACTAGTATGCTATGATAATAACCCCTTGGACGTTCTTTTTTTCAGAATCACTTAGTGATGGTCGCCGCCATTTCAAGGGCCTCACGATCATACTCCATAGGTCTCCGAAATAGTGACGTCGAGATTGCATGGGCAACTTTTATTTGTTCTAGGTGAGTCTGATGGGACGTTGTAGAATCTGTGGGCGCTTTTCAACGTGAATTTCAGAGCGTCTCGTGAAAACTGGTTCTTGTTAGAAGCTTTGAACGATTACTTCAGTCTCATACGACTCAATCCATCATTGCTCAACGTAGGAAAGGCGGTATTTGACATGGGAGGATATCAAATAGAATCGCCTATAGAACGGAATTGGTAGTTGTAGAAATTTTTCAGATAAATATTATTTTCAACATCTCTATGTGACATATTACACATTACTTACATGATGCAGCATACCATATCCGCATGTGACAGCGGGTTTCTTGCTCTGACATAGAGTAGTTCGCTGTGGACGATGGGGCGTGTCAGGCAGTCAGAGGTGCCACGGTGAAAAACCCGTTCTCTGCCAGTTGTTGAATCAGTTACGCGACAACAG